TAGCACGGTGTAGAGTACTGGAGGTGAGATTGGTTAGTTAGTGCTAGTCCAAGACCTGCGCTAGTGCAGGTCTAGAGCTCCCCAACACATCATTGGTGATTATAGTGCATTCCTGAGGAAGGGGATCCATTACTTAATTCATCCACTACTTAATTCTAATTGGTTATTATGGTATATATATGTAGCAACTTAAAATACTATTGCAAATTTAATTATATTCATTCAAAATATTTATTTAATAAAAAAATAAGTTTGCCTTGACAAGATCGTCGTAATGTTGCTTCTCTTTCTCTTTTCTCCAAATACTATAATGGGCTCTGCTCTAAAGAGCTAGCATCTCTTGTGCCATCTACTAAAATTCATTCTCCTGTTACTCGTCATTCAATTGAGTCTCATCCTTTTTCTGTTACTGTCCCTAAGTGCTCTAAAAACTCTTACTGGTCTAGTTTTTTTCCTCGGACATCAGTTCTTTGGAACTCACTTCCTTCATCTTGCTTTCCTGATTCATATAATTTGCAATCTTTTAAGTTGTCTGTCAATCGTCATATTGCTCTACAATCTTCATCTTTTTTCTTCTAGTAACTTCCAACACTAATTAGTGGTTGCTTGCAGCCTTGTTTGTGCGAAGATGTTTAAAAAAAAAAAAAAAAAGATTATAAGTTTTTTATATTTAAATAATTTTAATACTTTTGAACAAAAAAATTATTTTTAATAAAATTAGAAAAAATGGCGCCTACGACTTTAATAGTAAAACTTCTCGGTATCGCATGTACATGTACAAAATATTTAACCTTTGAAGATCTTTTCATATATTTGGCAAAAAAAAAAATTTTAATTATCGCATAATATTGTTTTGAGAACTCAAAGAATTTTTCAAAAATTTCGCTTTGGAGTTGGATTTTCTACACATTTTTAAGGATTGAAGACAAAGTCGATACTTTTTTTTTACAACTCCATACCTCTGTAAAACAAAACAATTTAGTTATTTAATTACACAATGCACATAGATACAGTATGATATAATCTAAATATATTTCACATAAGTATTTACAATAAAAGAAAAGAAACACATATAAATGAATATGTAATACTTAAACTCAAGTTGGAAAACTAGTTTATCAATATGCAAAAAAGTAAAATTATTGCTATCCTAGTTCTTAGGATAGTGATAAGAATTCTGGCTTCAATTATCAGGCAAGAGAAATGCAAATATTAATTTGAGAAAATACTTGTGTTGCTTGATCAATTTCTTTTATTAAAGACTGCCATAGAGTTTTTTAAGCTTTTAAAGTTTTTTAATTCATTAAAAAGAAGCCTTTTAATGACTGGATTTTCCTTATTAAAGAATTTTCTTACAAAGTTATTAGAGATTTTCCTTTAATTTTGTCTTGAATGGTCCAAAGACCATTAAGGGATTAGAGTTTATAACATGTATTTGGTGGATATGACATAAACTATTTCGTGAACACTAATTATGAATAATTGATTGAGTTGAGAGAAATATGGGACTCATGGTTATTGTAATGCAAAAGAATAGGCTTTTCTTTTGTGCAATTTATATGCTTTTTTTTTATTTTTACACAACTTAACTCGATATTAATATTTCTTCTGTCTTTTGCAATCAAACATAAATCATTTGCATAGATTAGGTCCTATGGTAAACCAACAGTATACTCTTTAAAGATAGTTTGCAGGGCAATTAAAAAGCAAAAGAGCAATAAACCCGATATACATCAACTTTTCTCAAAATTCTCTCAAAGTTTTCAAAAATGTTTTGATTTTTTTTACAACAGTTTTGTAAAAATGTTATACTACATCTAAAACATATTTTATCATATCATAAAAAATTTTTCTTGACATTTTTTCAACAATTTTTGCATTTTTTGATTTCTTTCCTGGCAATAATCCAAGTTGCGTAATATTTGCCTTTTTTATAAATCATAGCTATCAAATCATTTTGCAGATTGATTATAATTTTTTTTAATTATATTTTAAAAAATTATATCTGTGCCTCAGAGGTATAAGACATCATCTCCATTTTGTCAATTTTATAGTACAACTTTATGGACAGATAATATTATAAACTTACTGTATTTTAGATTAATAACAAAGATGGTTCACAGTTTATGTTTTAAATTGTTTCTTGTTATATCGATTACTACACTATTAAGACTGGTAACACCAATAGGATATTTTCAATGTTCTGATGTGTTTTTAAGTGAAGAACTTGAAATGTTTCTCTCTTGTAAAGAATTTTGTGAGTGTGCTGTAAAAATCAATCATGATATTGTTATAGGGTGCAAAAAGACCTGCTGTTGCAGGGGTAATTTTAAAATTTTGAAATATAATTTTTAAATAAATTTTAGCAAATTAGATTTTAATTATATTTTTATATTTGTATAAAAGTATTTAGCAATTATTACATTACATTTATTAAAACTTTTTAGACAGTTAAGAATGACTATTACCAACTGTTTCTTAAAAAAAATAATAGAAATATATCTTTTTTAAAAATATGCTTAGGTAAAAAAAAAATATCTTAGCCATGTTTCTCTATAGATTTTGAACCAAAGGATCGATTTAGGCGCAGAATATGTGCCACCTTGTCATCAAATCTTCATTGTGCGAGCTGATGCTTAGTGATCTGAACTAGTAAGTGTTGATGTTAATGAGGCAACATTTCTTAGCCAAGCTCCAATAATTTTTGTTGCATCAATTTTGGATTTTCATGAAAGAAGTAAACTTTGTTTCACCCCATGGGTTTTTTTATGTTCCACTTAAAGCTTGTTAAGGTGAACACATGTGGTTGCTCTTGTAATTGTAGCGTTTAGTAGAGGCAAATCCTAGTACAAAATGCTGCCAACGCCTCACCAAGCCATAGTCAACACATTTTTGGAGTGTAGGTTGATTTTTAGAGATGGTTTTGATAGTTGATCCTTCTTGTACTCATTCGAAGTCAAGAATTTCATGTAGGGATCTGCTTGCTAACCTAGCTGACTAGCATTCAGTTTGTGTGGTATCCAAATAACAATCTTGAAGGTTTTTCCCATTTTATGCAAGTTGCTTTATAGTGCCATGAATGGTTCTATAGAATAGCTTGCACAATATGGAAAATATAAGTTTGATTGCTATGCAGTGGATAGTTAACCATGGATTGCTTTTAATTAGCTGCTTTTAATATTAGGAGGGTATTGCAATGTCAGGGCTGGGTGTCTGGTTGTATGGTTACCATCTACTCTGGTTTGTTGTCTACTCTGGTTTAGTTTTCTTTCCTTTTTTTTGGCGACTGTTGAAAGCTTATTTATTTTGATAAAACTGATATAAAATCTTATTTGAATATCAAAATAATATCTTTGAATTTGCACATTATCGATGCATTTTTTAATTTAAAATGTTTACATTTTACATATTTTCAGATTCATTATACTGCAACTGAGTCAGGAACAAATTTAGTGGCAGTTCAAATTTGTTAATCAAAGGAAAGTTTTTGAAATTATTAAGTCATTTCTTTCTAACCGCGTTAATAAAGACATGCTTGAAGGCCGACATTCTTCTTCGGTTCCAGTAAGTTCTGGGGTACCTAAAGGTTCTATCCTTGGTCCTGTTTTGTTTCTTGTCTATATTAATGATCTTATAGACAATCTTACATCTAAATTGCCTCTGGTTGCTGATGACTGAAATTTATATTTCTGTCTTGACAAAAAATCTTCTCATTTTAATTGTCTAGAACAGGCCAATCTTGAGTCTGATTTCATTTATTTAAGTTAGTTTTAGTTATATTTTAATAGCATTTCTGGTTTATATCTAGTATAAAATTTTTCTGATATAATTATTTGGGATGACCAAAAGTGTTTTTGGGATTATTCAAATTAATTGTTCCTTTGCAATATTTTGCATGCTCCATAACTCCTGGCATTTTCCACTTTGCTTTGGTCATATTTTATAGTTGTTCAGCTATTCGTGTTGTAATCTTTTTTCTATTTACAAATACATAAAAAGTGCCACATGTACATTCAAGCTGTTACACTCCTGGGTAATATGGAGGTAGCTTTACCTTTTTTTGGCATGATGTAAAGATCTTCCCAAAAAAAAAACTGTTTTTTTTGTCAACTTTTCGAAACTCGCCTTAGATTTTATTTAAGAACTCTCAGTAGCCTAATGACATTTTTATGTTAATTTGTTGACTGCTGTCAGACAACAATTTCTAGAAGCTGTTGCCGAGAATATCCATTTTTCGTAGAAATATTTATGAGGACTTCAATTATTTTTTTATGTAATTATTAGAACATGCTTTAAAAGCTTTTGCTAGAAATTCTATAAATATCCCTGTCACAATGTATGCGATATACGCATTTACGATTTTACAAGTACATTTGTTATTGCATAGAATAAGTTGCAGATATTTAAGAAATTGAGTATATTGATTATTTTGCTATTCACGTGTGTATTGTATATCCTTGTTTTGAAAATTTAAAAGTGCCAAAAAAAAGATTTTGTTTTATCAAAGTTAAAAAAGCTGGCGTGACTTTCATTGACATATGGTTTAAAGTTTATAGGTGTAACGTTAATAATTGTTGAGTTGCAATATATTCAATATGTCCTAAGTAAGCTTATAAAATTACTACCATTACGGATAATTTAATCGGATTAGAGTTTTTTAAGATTTAAATTTTATTATCTCATAAATATAGAAGATAAATTTTATTATCCCATACTAAGGCAAAGTTCGATTAACTTATAAATGTAAAGTGAATTTAATAAATGAAGATTATCTTTATCATAATTTAAAATATCAATAATAGCTAAAATTGCTTTATCGAGTGCTGTTGGTGGATACAATTTTACTTCGTCAAATGATATCTGAACCTCATTTTTCATTTGCCCTTATTACAAAAGATGATGAATTTTTCACTCTGCACTGATATTTATTGAATTGAATAAGTTGAACAAGATTTTATGTGGGGGTTTATCAACAATTTATCCTGGGGTGTATTAACAATTGAGACACCCAAGGTTAAATTTACACCTCATCCCGTAATAATTGATATTGGGTAATCCTTAACATTTTTATAAGCTTTAATTTAGCCGTATAATCGAGGTGGTATCAAGCATCAGAAGAATAAATGAATAATTAATTTTTATTCATTTATTCTTGTGATGCTATATATATATATATATAAAAGAATAAATTTTTTTTTTTTTTTTTAGAACATGATCTCAAGTCGTATGATTTAACGTTGTCAAGTAATCAAACGAGACCATAGTAACCTTTGCGTTGCAAAGAGATAAAACGTAAAGCTCGTAAACAAATTACTTTGGCGTTGCTTAGAGATCAAGCGTAAAACTCATAAAATAAATTTGTACCTGTTACGTAATAGTATGACGTATAAATTTCTATTTATTAATTTTTTTTTTTTTTTACCTTGCATTAGGGGAGAGTGGGGTAATGACGAACAGCTAAGCGGGAATGCGAATTAAAGACAATTATTACTATATATTAATGATATTTTTTGCTTATTATTTAGTCTAACCATTTGGTTAGAATCACTCAAAAGCAATTTTCATATATCTTATTAAAAAATAAAAAATTCGATTAAAAACAAAACCTTCGGTGTTCGGAATTACCCTACGTACATGGGGTAATTCCGAACATACCGTGTATATATATATATATATATATATATATATATATATATATATATATATATATATATATATATATATATATATATATATATATATATATATATATATATATATATATATATATATATATATATATATGTATATATATATATATATATATATATATTTATATATATATATATATATATATATATATATATATATATATATATATATATATATATATATATATATATGTATATATATATATATATATATATATATATATATATATATATATATAAAGTTTACAATAATAAACTAAATAAATAATGTATAATAACTTTATTTAAGAATCATCCGTGTGTTATCATATACGCTAGAATACTTTGAAGACAATAAGTGTTCGCGATTACCCCACTAAGATCGTTCGTTATTTCCCCGCGTTACAACCAAATGAAATTAAACGAATATATTGAGGTAGTATTATCATACCCTAAATATAATACGTGTTACAAACTCCATGATTATGATACTTTGCAACAACATAAATAAAAGTGTGATTTTATATACATAGTATAGCCAATACATTAATGTTTCGCAAATAAAAATTACATAAAACTAAGAGAAAAACTTAAAAGCAATCTACCGCGAAGAACCTGCGCATTTATAATACACTATTGCACGTCTGGAACTGAGCATGGAACCCACTCTTGTCAGAAAAAAAAAGATTGTCAGCTATCCTTTTCTAACATGCCTTAACAACCTTGTTCGGAGTTACCCCGCGTTCGCCATTACCCGACTCTCCCCTACTTTTATATATCGCGTATTTTATATTAAATTTATATTTATATATATATATATATATAATATATATATATATATATATTTTTTTTTTCATGTATTAAAAAACTTTATTTTTTGTTATTATAATCTATTCCTCTTTTTTTACGATGGTATTGAATCTTTTAACCCAAACAATCCTACCGAGTATGATTTCTGGAATATTTTCCAAAACAGCCTTTTTACTCAACATATCACATTTCCTACTTTCCAGACTGATTATGGTTCCTCAAATAATATGTTGGACTTGTTATTTACCTACAACAGTAATTCTATTTTAAACTTGTCTCCTAGTACTATACTAGGTAACACCACTAAGGGTCATTTTAGTATCACTTGGAGATTCTTAGTTTCAGAACTGTTTACCGAAAGTGAATCTCAATCGTTTAATTACAAAAAAGGTGATTACGATTCAATATCTAACTTTATTGCATCAATCGACTGGGAGTTTTTATTCCTGCATAAAACTGCAGATCAAATGTTCAATATACTAATTTCTAACTATCGCACTGCTTGCACATATTTTATTCCCAAGATTAATAAAACAAAAAAAAGGTATGATCCTTGGGTTACCCCACATATTAAAAACCTGATCCGAGAAAAAAAATCCGCTTGGCATATAAACTGCTCTACCAAATGGGAGAATAGTGAGCTTAAAATAAAATACAATCGCCTTCGTTCAGTAAAAACTGAAATATTTAAAGCAAAAAAAGCACATGAAAAAGAAATAATATCAAAATCCCAAAACAACCCAAAAATCGTTTACAAATATATCAACAAACAACTAAAAATTAAAGATAGAATTCGCTCTCTCAAAGATACTTCAGGCAGAATTATTGAAGCTCTTCCTGATATAGTTGATCTTCTGAACTCTCAATTTAAATCTATGTTTACACTTGAAAGCTCTGAAAATTTTCCTTTGCTAAATAAAAGTGGTATTCTTTCTGAATGCATTTATAATGAAAACTTGGATTTCTCTATCTCAGATATTATTCAGGAACTTGCCGATCTAAAGCCTTATAAATCCTTCGGATCTGACGGCTTGCATCCCTTAATACTCAAGATATGTGCCAAAAGCTTTGCAATTCCATTAACAAAAATCTTTCATAAATCCTTTAATTCTGGAGTAGTACCCACTCAATGGAAATTAGCAAATATTAGTCCGATCTATAAAAAAAAGGGAGATAAATTACTTGCTGAAAACTATAGACCTATTTCACTAACATCTGTTGCCTGTAAAATCTTTGAAAAACTTGTAAAGAAAAAAATTTTAAAGCACATTAACGATAATAAAATGCTCTCTGCAAATCAACATGGCTTCCTTTATCATAAATCATGCGTAACTAACCTAATAGAAACTTTTGATATCATTTCGTCCTCCATAGCATCTCACCAATTTATTGATGTAATCTATCTTGACTTTGCCAAAGCGTTTGACTCTGTACCTCACAACAGACTTTTGTTAAAATTAAGATCTTTCGGAATAAACGGCAAACTCCTACAATGGATTAAATCTTTTTTAGTGGGCAGAAAGCAACGCGTTACAATTAACAATACCAGCTCTGCATGGGTTGATGTTCTCAGTGGTGTTCCTCAAGGTTCTGTTCTCGGCCCGCTCCTCTTCATTCTCTACACAAATGATCTCGCAAAACTCACTGAAACTTCTGAGATATTTGCCGATGATACTAAACTTTTTTCTAAAACCTTATCGCAATCTAATTTTTTTGATCTGCAGAATCGTCTACGCTTGGTATACGAGTGGTCAAACACTTGGTTACTTAAGCTAAACACTTCAAAATGCTGCGTCATTCATTACGGTTGAAACAACCCCCATTACAATTACTTTCTTCAAAATAACCAAGGAATCAACCAATCTCTAAGAAGCTCTACTAAAGAACGTGATTTAGGAGTCATTTTTACATCTAACCTCAAGTGGAGCGCTCATATTCAAACAGTTGTCTCTAAGTCCTTACAAATTCTCGGTATGCTGAAAAAGACATTCACTTTCATTGATGAAAAAATGGCTCTCAAATTATATAAAGTATTTATAAGACCACATCTTGAATATGGAGTGTCCATTTGGGCTCCTTTTTTAAAAGCCGATATGGCTTTGGTTGAATCTGTTCAACGCAAAGCTACAAAATGGGCTTACAGCTTGAGGCATCTTCAATACTGCGAAAGGCTAAAAAGATTAAACCTACCATCACTTGAGTTTCGACGCCTTCGATGCGATTTAATCCAAATTTTTAAATTAATACATCGTTTTGATATAGTTAATGATAAATATCTACCAAAATATATTAACTCCGTGTCTCGTGGTCACTCTAAAATAAGGTCTCGTGGTCATTCTAAAATAAGGCGTGAGTATGTTCTAAACTGTCTTCCAAGATATAATCATTTGTATAATAGATCAGCAAAATACTGGAACAATCTACCAGAGCAAATAACTTTGTACTCCACTGTACTTTCTTTCAAAAATAGACTAGACTCCTGGTTGTGGAAAAAGTTTGGAACAAATATTTATAAAACTGGTTGTTTATAGTGGGGTGTTTCCCCTGCTCGCTGTATGTGTACATTCTATGTAAATTTACGGCTACAACTATAATAATAATAATAACATTCTTTTCATTTAAGGCAAATGGTTATCCTTTTTTTGTAAAACATGTCCCAAAATATTTTATAGGTTTTTATTTATAAAATATTTTGGGTAACTGTTGGTAACATTTTTTATTCTTTACTTTTTTTATCATCTGTGGCGCCAAAAGTTTACGTTTTTTTCTCACGTTAAAATTTATTGTTTTTTTTTTTCAATATCCATACTTCGAGTTCGAGCCGACTAAGGATTGCAATTCCGGGCATGAATTACGATCCCGGGATTTCGGGATTGAAGTAAATAAAGTCCCGGGATCCCGGTATCCCGGGATTTTATATAATGTGAGTTATTTGCTAAAAAACAGAACTTAATACTGCATATACGAATATACTTTTTGATGTTATCAATTCTTTATTTAATTTCATTATGTTTTAATAACTTACATTAATTTTCTACGGCGCCTTAAATTGTTTTAATTGTGTAACAGGCAGCAGGTGTATATAAAGATCTTAAAATAATGCAGAAATATATATACGGTACCTTCCATATTATGTTTTAAGATTACAGACTTTACAGAATAACCTTCATCAAATAATTGGATATGTAAATAATATTTGAACATTTAAAGTGTATTTGACTAAAGTAACTAAACAATCAAAATTTCAAAATAAATTTGTAAACATAAATTTTCTTAAATTTGGGTACCGATGTAGCTGCTGTAGCAACAAGCTACTTTTTAAAAAATAACATAATAAGTTGTTTGTTAATATTGAGAGACAAAAATTAAAGAAAATCTTTATTTTATATATATAAATAAATGGTAGCTAAATAATAAATGTAAAACAAAAAAACAATTCATATTAAATGCCTATTTTATTTACAAACTTTCTTTTTTTGTCTGAAAATATGCCCGGAGCAATAGTAGAGCATTTAAGGTTTGGTCACATAGCCTACTCCTTATTTTACTTCCCAAATACCCAGCTGCAGAAAATGCCCGCTCAGTTTCAATGCTCGTCGGTGGAATAGGTAACAAATATTGGTATACTAATTCCAAATTATGCCCCCGGTTTCCACTATTTTCAAACAGATGCATTTCTTTCTTTATGATTGACATTAAATTTAAAGTTTGTGTTTCTGGTTCAATGGCTTTCATGCTTTGTGCAATTTGTTCTTGTAACTTTTCTCTTAAAGACAGGGAGGCTCGAACTTGTGGTTCTTCATTTCTAACGACAGCCATTATATTTTCATCAACATCAATACTTGATTTTTCTAAATTATCATTTTTAAAAGCAGCTAGTCTCTCAATAAGTTTTTTTATCTGCTTCCTAATAAGGGTTTTAGGAG